ACAATTTTGGCACGCCTTTACAAAAAGGTTCACCAACACTGTTCTAGGCTAGCTAAAAATTCAATGTTCATTTGACATTCATGACTATGACTATAGAGGCCTATTTTCAGTCAAAGTTTCATGAACAAGAAAGGCCATTACATGTAGTCCTCGACTTACAACCACAATTGAGCCCCAAATTTATGTTGCTAAGCAAGAGTTTTGCCCCATTTTACCACCTTTCCTGCTACATTTGTTAAGTGACTGCAGTGCAGTTGTTGAATTAGTCAGACAGGGGGAAAGTGAATCTGGCTTCCCCTTTGACTTTGCTAGTCAGAAGGTCCCAGAAGGGGATCATGTGACCCTGGGGCACTGCAATGGTCATAAATATGAGTCAGTTGCCAACCTTCTGAATTTGATCGCGTGACCACAGGGATGCTGCAATGGTCGTAAATGTGGAAAATAGTCATAAGTCATTTTTTTTCCAGAACCGTTTTAATTTTGAATGGTCACTAAACAAATTGTTGTAAGTCGAGGACCACCTATAGTTTTCTTAGGTTTTAAAGTATAAAAAAAAAACCACTGTTTCCCATGCTCAGTCAAGAGTTAGGAAGGCAAAACTTACCATAGAAAGGAGTCACAGAGAAGTAGACAAGGTGATAAAGATTATAGGCTTCAATTCTGACATCCTTCCAAATACCCTGAGTGGGGAAAGAGGGACCCCAGTCCCAGCTGAATGAGCACTGCTCCTGAAATAAATGAGACAAAACACAACGGGAACTGCACAATGAGCGCCTGTAATCGGAAAACACCAGATTCTGCAACATTCAGGGGATCTGCCTTTTATTTTATTTTTTATTTTTTGAAAGACCTTTCAGGGTTGGTTGCTGGTCAGAGATACGATACAACAACACTATATGCAGCAAAATTGAATGTGGAGGCACTTTCTGGAGTTTTGTGGGCTTCGTGGAATTGTGGCGAAGCAAAGGTTTTTATTTACAAAGAAAAGATTTAATTTGCTGCCAGATTTGAGTAAGCGGGGATCACAAAACATGACTGAAGGTTGAAAGTGACTTGTGGATTGCTCATACTTGTACAAAGAAATGAACAAGTTTTGACATACATTGTAAACAAACTGGATTTCTAGCCCATTCTATCTCTAAAGGGAATTATTTATTATTACTGTTGTTGTTGTTGTTATTACTAAAAACCTCAGTGAACAGAAAGAAATATAAATAAGAAGCCATTTGCCAGTATGGCTGGAGGGTGACTCTAACACAGCTTCCTTTTTATATGCTTCCTAGGCTAAAGAAATCCATTGTGAAAGGCTGAATTTTTGAATTTCTGGATTTTTCATAGAATCTGTGAAAATTTATTATACAAAGTAAAATAAATAAAAATAGTAAAATTTTCTCTTTAATTACATTTTTTTCCGGCATTTATTTCAGATGGTATTTCCAATCTTAGAACTGAAAATAAGTGGCCTCTTGCTCCGTGGGCCAAGAGAAAGTTCAATGACATAAAATCTCAATAGAGTGTTCCATTTCAGTTATGGTCTCTGCAATACAGAATGCCTGCCAATTATATAATTGCTTATTATTATATAATGTCGAAGTTCTGAAAGCTGCATTCCCAGTCATTCTGTAGAAATCAGGTGAAGGAGCATCTGGGAGGTATATACCAGAGGTGGTATTCAGCCGGTTCTCTCCAGTTTGGGCGAACCAGTAGCGGCGGCTGCGGGAGGCTCCGCTCACCCACCCTGTCGTAATGCGCAAGCACTGCGCATACGCAGAAAGCGACGTGCATGTGCAGACGTGGCACATGCACTCACATTTGCAAACCAGTAGGGAAGGGAAATGAATCCCACCGCTCTACAATATGTAGAGCTATAAATATCTCTATATATTGGCTACCAATATTTGTAGCATGCCTTGGTCATATGTATTTGGCTACAACTACTATCCCAGTTCAAAAATATACTAAATATCAATTATGCTTAAAAAATAGTTAAGTACAATTCACATGCTTCAAAAATAATTTGTTCTCTGAGATTTAGAAATTCCAAAGGGCCACTTGACACATTAACTTTTATCCCATAGAGTGGCACTTCCATGCAAAAAACTCTATCAAATGAAATGGGTTCCACCACAAAACCGCGCTCGACTAAACCGCATCCGACTAAACCGCGTAGCTGACATCATCAACAGGGCGACAACAGCGCAGAGACAGAAGC